AAACAGCAATAATCGAACGACGTTGTTGTTGGTGGTCATGTGGCTCTTCGAACTCTGTTAGTAACTATAATGGCTTGGAAACATATTTTTGTGCTGCCGATAAATGCAATGGATATGGTGCAGAATCCGCTCTCAGTCCTCCAGGTAGAAGTGATGACAAAAAATAAGTTGAAAAAAGTTTTTGCTTTTCAATAACAGTGACCACAACTACGGTGACGACAACCATAACAACAGTAACAACAAAAACGACAACAACTACGGTAACAACAACCACAACAGCAGTAACAACAACAACCACAACAACAGTAACAACAACAACGACAACAATACCAACGACGACGACCACCACTACAGCTCCGAAAACATCGTTTCAATGCTATGATTGTTCCGGACCAGATTGTGGTAGAGAAGGCTCATCTGTATCAAACAATTGTCCCAGTTGCATGGTATACAGAAACCCTAATGATCAAAGTAAATAGTTAGAAAAATTCTTCAGATAATCTTTCATAAATCAGATAAATAGCAATCATTGAACGACGATGTTGTTGGTGGGGTTGTGGACCTTCGAACTCTATTGGTAGTCATAACGGCTTGGAAACATATTTCTGTGCTGCTGATAAATGTAATGGAGTTGGAACAGAATTTGCTCTCAGTCCTCCAGGTAGAAATAAGAAACAGAATACATTGATACATTTTTCTCTTTTGTTTGTATTAGTAACAACAACAACAACAACAACTACTACTACTACTACTGCTACAACGACTAGTTCGATTAGTATGATCTCTCATTATAGCTCAAAATAGATTTTCTATTTTCATTTTAAAAATTGTGCTTTTCTAGAAATTACGACAACAACGACAACTTCCCCAGCAAGTTGTCTCCTTAATTGTCAAAATGGTGGTACACCAGAAACTGAAGATGGCTGCTTTTGCTATTGTCTGGAGAATACTAACGGACGTGAATGTGAAAATGGTACAGTTATTTGTTCTGTTCCTATCAAATATTTCTCTGTATTTATCTTTGTTAGTTGATTGTGTTCAACCGGATGTGAATTCTGATATCTGCAGCATTGAAAATCAACAACTATGTGAAGAAAGTGAAACCTTTGCTTTTGAATGCCTTCATTTATGTGGAAAATGTTAAAATTATTTTATTAAATCATTTAATTTATATAAATAGATATTCGATAGTTTTTTTCTTTAACGATCAGTAAAAGGTATTTGTTGTTGTTGTTGTTGTTGAGTTAAATCGTTTTGTTCTATTGTGTCATAAGGATTTGAGAATAAATATTTATCAGCTCGAAAATGATCTTGATTATCCAATCCAACAAGAATTTGTTTTGGATAATGATGCTTTAGAGCAGTAACTAAAGCACGTCGATTACCAAAACCACGCTGATAACGTCGAAGTTCGTCAGGATTATTATTGATACTACACATTTGAACGATGATAAAAAGTGATGTACCAACCATAAACATTAAGAACAGATGTTGTTGAGACATGATGGATATAATAAATGACAAGAGAAAGCAATGAATGACTAGGATGCTTTTTTGTGTCGGTTTATTTAAATAGTAGATCACAGCTCATGAATGTGATTATTGAGTGCTAATAATATTCTCAGTAGACTATACCAATCAAAAACTATATATATATTCGCCTACACTGTTATCTTAGATATTCTCGTAAGAATTCAGATTAAGAAAATAAATATACACTTCGCAATAAAAGCAATAAAATAGAAAGCTTCATTTCGATTCAGATTTGTATCATTGCCTGTAATGACTGAAGAAATAATATAATTGTTCTTTTTTATTTTTATGAAATTTGTCTAGTTAAATGAAACATTTTTTAATATATACAGTGCGCCTCAATTGATTTTCCACTCTTGATATTTTTTTGTTTTTATTGCTATACTTCTTTTATTTATTAACCTATCATATATAGGAAGAAAGCCCGGAACACGCTGCATCTTTTGGTATATTTACATTTAACATCAAATGCAACTTAAAGTCTAAAATGTATTAGAAAAAAAAGTGACATTTTTTTACTACAGGGTGTCCACAATATGGTAACATTTTTTATTTCGCGTATATCTAGGCTTTGGTAAATGAAAATATTTTGAATTTTTTTCCAGAAGATGCGCCGTGAAAAGCTCTACAAAAGCTATATGATCAAAGTCCTTTTTGCATGTTCTAATGGTTTTTCTTATACTCAAAATGAAAAACCCATATGACAGTGCCACTATCCATCATATTGAAAATGTTTGGAAGACTTTTTATTTTGCATATATCTTGACTTGAGAAAATGATGGAATATTGAATTTGTTTTTGAAAGATGTGGCGTTGAAAGTTCTACAAAACACGTATAGACCAAATCCTATAGCGAATCAGAAAAGTCCTCAAAATATTTTCTATATGATAGGAAGTGACACTGCCGTGTAAGTTGTTCATTTTGAGTATAAGAAAAACCATCAGAACAGGCAAAAAGGAATTTAATCGTACATCTATTGTAGAGCTTTTCACGGCGCATCTTCTGGAAAAAGATTCAAAATATTATTATTTACCAAAGCCGAGATATACGCGAAATAAAAACTGTTACAACATTTTGGACACCAAGTATTGTAGTGAAAAAAATGTCACTTTTTTTTCTAATACATCTCTTGCACTTTAAATTGTATTTAATGTTTTATGTAAATATACCAAAAGATGCAGCGCGTTCCGGGCTTTCTTCCTATATATAATAGGTTAATAAATAAAAGAGGTATAGCAATAAAAACAAGAAAATATCAAGAGGGGAAAATCAATTGAGACGCGCTGTAGTTGGTGTATATTTTCAAAGTGTAAATCATTTCATAAAATAATCACTTTAGTAACTTGAAAACAACCTTACACATTGCAGTTATTTTTATACAATATCCTTGATATTTATTTCAAAAATAACACATACAAAAAACAAAGTTTTCAACTCAGAGATTCACTTAACAATGTTTTTGGATGAAAAATAAATTTTTTTGATTTCATTTACTCGATTTAATATGTACATTACTAATTTTAACACAACCTTTTTCTCCCGAATTTGTTTGTACAACAATTTGTCCTTGATAATTTCCAGCAAGTGCCCATGAATCAATATAAATTGTAATTGGTATAGTTAGCGCATGATCACCCT